ATATAGAATTTTAGTTTTAAAAACGGAGGCATATGCTATACCAGAGATCACTGTGCTATTTGAATAAGTTCCTGCTCGATCTCGCTCTCTCTCTCCCCTCTCTCTCTCTCTCTCTCTCTCTCTCTCTCTCTCTCTCTCTCTCTCTCTCTCTCTCTCATAAAAAAAAGAAAAAAAAGAAACTCCTTACTTCTGTCCAAGCCCAGAGCTTCCCCTTTTCACTATTAAGCAATGCTCACCCAACACAGTAACAGAGAATGCTATTAAAGTAACCTTGAGGTTGAGATCTTCCTGTTACCATGCAGTATATCTATAGAGCCTCTATTTGTCCTTTATGCCCAGAATATTGGGCTGAGAACTAGCTGTTACACTCTGGTGCCCAAGGGGTAATTATCCATTTGGACCATGAAATGAAAAGAAGACTCTGCTTGGTCCCTGGGGTGATGGACGCATTTGCACAATACTGGAATGTCTGGGAATTCAGGGACTCATGGTGTATGTTCAGAACTCTTCTGCTTGGATACACTGGGTGTCTGCATCGTTATTTGAAGCTGTTTAGGCAGATGTTAGACAATGTCGCCTTCATGGTTGGCCTTTGTTAGCTCCATGAGAAGAGCGTTTCCAACAAATGTTCGGAGCAGTGGTTAAAAACACCACAACCCAGCTGGGAGTGGCCCACACAGAGGTGGAGAAACAGGAAACAGCAGAGTTGTGGGACACAAGAAGTCATTGTGCTTGGAGCCCTGCAGTGCTCCCTCACAAAGGCCCCTCATAGAAGCCATTGTCTCAACACCCTGGACACATCTACATCCTACCCCAGCTCATGACAAAAACTCAATAAAAACTTTAAAGCTTGACAACAAATGCTCCAGAGTCCCCTTGGCTTAATAAAAGATGATGCTTCAGAGCTTTTTATGTGGAATCACTGTCTGCTCAAAGTCACTTCTACTTGGAGCCCAAGTGTGTCCTTCCCTCCCACATAGACACTACTATCCCACGGGGCAGATTCTTATTATAATGCACCAGATTCGTGTCCAGTGTGTGGAGACAGCTGATGTCCTTAATCAAATGTGACACCCGAGGTCGTCACCTAGTGAAAGGGCTGAGTCAAGTGGGCCCTGAGCAGTGTGGACTCCATCATAGAAGGCTAAATGGGCATTAAGGACTGGGCTCAGCAGGACTTATAGGAGCTTGTGTAAAAATTCCCAGGAAGGAAGCCAAAGCTGTGCTATTAGAAAATGAGATGGAGAAACAGAAGCCACACAGATGTTGCCTTGTATAGTTCTTCAGTTTGCGATAAATAATGCCAGCTCTATCTACAGATCCAGTCCCCAAAAGCTTCCAAGACTCCAAAATGTCCCCTGAGCCTCTCCTTCCAAACTTCAGGAAGCTTTTACACCAAGAAGACTCAGTTCTTCTCCTTTGAAAGCAGCACAAATTCAGTTCCTTCTTAGGAAGAGGCAGGAAATTGGGGATTCTCTAAGGGCACTTTTAGAAAATTGAACATAGAACCTTTTATCAGTGAATGCATAGACGGCTTTAGCCCACAGCCCTCGCATTCATCATAGGCACTTCAGGGAGAGAAAATTAATGATAATCCTAAGTACATAATGACTTGCTGGAGACCAGAAGGCTCCACTCTGATGGGTCTGACTGGAGGCTTGCCCCACGGTAATGAAAGATGCCGCCTGTGTGCTCGACCTTGGTCTTGGTTCATGCTTCTAAGCAAAGAACTGCAAAGCTGGTAGGGGCTACTTAATCTCTTTTCTGGTAACTGAAAGCAAC